ATGGACAACTAGGTCCTCTACTTTCTGGCTCCTTCCAGATAAAAAAACGCAGCAACATGTGTATGGGAACTTAGTCCAAGGGCCAAGGGGTCAACATGTCCTGACCTTGGCCAAGGTAAAGGGCGGTCAAGGTGATCAAAGCTTTTTGGTCTGATTTCACATCCACACAACATTGCCCACACATTTGGCCAGAACAAAGAGGCCTTTCAGGGATTCCATTCACAACTTGAATCTTAATCAACCAATCGAATCTCGGAGATGCATTGCAAACCAATCTACCTGCCAGACTATCAAATTATGATAGTGCCCCCAATAGTTTTTGATTTTCATTTTTATTTTTTGCGGAGGTGCAGGATTCTTAAAGCTAAGACATCCTAGCACTGAGGCCGCACTGACTGCGTGGCTTGTGCTCCAGACGAATTTACGCATGGCGAAACGTGCCGGTCCTGCTCTTGGCCTTTTCTCTTGCTCAGCAACGATTGCATCTGGTTTGCATTGCCAGAAGAAAGTTCCTCCGGTTGTCGGGCTGTTGAGGCCTGACCCGGACGGCTATTTTGTATACTTTCATCATTTTTCATGAAGTGTTTTCAGATTAGAGAAGTTGGAGCAGCATGTCCTTTTTACGAAGATAAGTTCCGTTAGTGTTAGTCCGACTAGTCCTACGATTGAGACCGGCAGCCTGGCATTCTCGTAAGGCATTTGGTGGCACCTTCCTTTGATCATCGTGTTGTTCCTCTCTTGCTCTGGTCTGGTTTTCCTGGTGCACCGCATCGTCAAGAAGCGTCACCTGCGTCGGGAAACGATCCGCCAAGAGGAGGTCCACAGGATGCACCGTTGCTTTTGGTTTTTGTTGTCTCCAATGTAGATACAATCCCGAAGCATGCAAACCAACTAGCTTAGGAAGGCCTAGATGCGGTAAGTGATGCTACTTTGACCTTGAATCAAGGTCGAGACTTGGCTCCAATCCATCCATCTACAGTAAGCTCTATACCTCGAAACAATTTCCTCTGTGGAGGCTAGAGACGGCTATTAATCGCCCAGTGTCTCGTGTCTCCGTGTTTCGTTTGACCGGGCGCCGCTGTGAGGTGAACCAGATCCTTCAAGAGCTCGATGAAGAGCTTTGGCATGAGAAGCTGGATACCCTGAACAGGCCACATTTAGTTGCGGGCCAACAGCCGACCGCATAACTAGGAAAACACACTACTGTAGTAATTAGAACAACGCACACACACACACACACACTCTTTGGATGAAGGTGTACTTACTCGTGTGTAGCTAGAAGCACAAAGGCACTATACAGAATCACACCCACACACGTCCCCTGTAGCTTCCAAAATAAGGTGGCCATAGCTGAAATTTGTTAGCACACAACTCCTGTGACATACCACAGTTACCAAGCAGGGTTCGTGCAAAAAACCTTTATTAGAGGGCCGAAAAGACATGTGTGGCCTTGTACTCACGATGATGTCACTTGTGTCTTTTCCCACGTGCCATGCAGCACCTCAGCGAATCCATGTTGTGAGAGGTTCTTCGTGGCGTTGAGCAGTTTCGGCTGGACCTGGTCGCACGTGAGTCAGCGAGCTGAAGAGATTCTCGGCAAAGCAAATCAGAAGCATGAGAGGCTTTGAGTGCGGAAGTGGAGTGCATGTGATAGTGTGTTACTATGCCTCTGTTAGCTTATCATGTATGGATTGGACATTTGCGATTTCTTTGGATGAAAGCAGCGAAGCAATGCGAAGCCATCTGCAATCTACATACGTTTTCGAGGTCGTTCCAGGGGCCCAGGGTTCTGGGTGGTGTGAGGATCCGGGCTCGTCACAGCGGCCTTGCGGGTGTGAGCCTTGTATATCTCATGGGCGAGTTTGCAGAGTTGGCCTATGACTGGTCCGGCGAAGATGATCCCACTTTCCTTCGCTTGAAGGAGGCCTTTGGGGGACGAACACATTTCATGCGCTCGTCATTGTTTCAGTCACAACTCTGCGTAAGTCTGTGCTTCAGTGCTTCATAGTTTCTTCGATACCGTTCTATGTTTTCATCCTTTCCAGATCTTTCGCATCAGCGGCCATCGGCCAACAACTGCTTTCTTGAGGTCTTCTGGCAAGGCCAGGACAAGATCGGATCCAACCTTCGTTGCCCCCGAGATGGTCGACCGGGCTGTGCGCTGGTTGATTGGCTTTCCCCAGAGCATCGCCAAATGCAGACGCATTTTATGCCATCCGACTGGCAACCAGAGATGTTTGCACATGTTGTGACCACAGTGGAGCCCCAACATGCCACAGGTTTCGACGGATTGAGTCATTGAATTAGTAAAGACATGGTTTCGTCGGAGATGTTTCACCAAACCTTTAGCAAACATACAAATGTGCACACCTTCCATTGGGAACCGGGGCTGACCGGCAGTCAGGGGTGATGGTAATTGTTTTGATTGAGAGCGTCAAGAAATCCAGAAGAGCTTCCACCCAAGTCCACATGAGTGGAAGAGGTGGGGCAAAGGTATTTTCGGGCGGTGTGAAGCGGCCAACGCAAGCCTCGTATCACTTGTGCGATACCAGCAATTCTTCTGAAGCCATTTTGCTTGCGCCTGCTTTTGAGGTCCTGGAGTTGGAAGTATTCACTGCGACAACTGCAGAGTGCCATGAAGATGTGGAGGGGAACCAGAACGCTGGAGTTTCAAGAAGCTTAGATGGTGCTGGTGGGCGGAAGTCTGGGAAGTCGAGTGTTTTTGTTTTGATGACACAAGTCTCAGAGGTTTTCTCCGAAGCCAAGCTGCGTAAGTGAGATGGCGGCTAAGTCGCATGCCACAGGTTCTGAGAGTATGCTTAAGCATGCCATTCCTTTTTGCTTATTTTCTCACCCATCGAATCTTTGATGCGAACATCCAAGGATGTCTTCTTCTATATGTGCTTCTTCGTCAACAACCAGTTTCGGATCATCGTGGAAGGGTCTGCTGCTGGGAGCGACAATCTAGAAGAGGTCTTTGAGACAAATCTGCGGCGGATTGGCCAGGTCGTTGCGGTCTTGGACACATGGCGGGAACCAATCTACTTGCAAAGGGTGTGGACGATCTACGAGCAGTATGTTGCTTGCTCTTTGGAAGTACCTGTGACCTTCGTCATGCCGGAACATGCAAGCGCTTCTCGTCTTAGACGATGACGATGCTGATTGAGTGACAAAATTTCTGTAACGCTTTTCACCAGCTCCCATGCTGCTGCATTTCAAAGAGGTTTTGCTCCCATGCTCGTCAAAGCACTTGTCAAAGTCATCCATGTTGGTTTGGCACCTCAATATCTCTGTTTGGAAACATGTGAGGTGTCCCTGTCACAGCAGATCCTTGATTCAATTGATTCAGCACAGCTTTCAACCTCTTTGCGACGTAGCTTCTCTTGTTTGCAACCTGTGAATCCGCTTTGACATTGATTTTAGAGCCGAAGCGAAAAGACCAGGATCTCTAGTGGAGATGTCGGCATCAGCGAAGTCACCCGGTCCCTGTGTGATGTGAATGTGGCCCATGCCACAGCATTCGATCCTAGAGACGAGGAGAAGGTCAAGAGGAACATCCAGTGCACGGTACTTGGGACGCATGGGTGAGACGTTTCTGGTGAGTCTCTGGAGGATGGGTCGGGAGGTGATGAAATCAATGAAAATCATCCACAAACCTCTTTCGCCTCCCACAAAACAAATTGCGTGAATATGCGGCATTGCATTTTGGTGCGCTCGAGAAGCACCGGACCAAGGTAGGCTTTGAGCGAGTGAATCAGCATGTGAAAGAGGCAATGATCCAGTGGATTGGAGTGGTGGTCAGGGAGAAGTTCCAAAAGCTCATTGATGCAAGTGATTGTCAGGACGTCTTTTCGGTCTAGCAGAAGTCTAGCGCGAATTCAAGACAAGGAGATGATGAGATGTCTAAAGCAAGATTCACGCCCAGCAGAAGTCGGGCATGCCAGGATGGGAGTCGATCGCTATTGTCACAAGACGACGTGCTTTGTCTCAGACTGGCCTCCTTTGAAAAAGCAAGCTTTGAGTGAGTTGCAATTGGGGTAAGATATCTATGCCTGAGCCACCTTACCAACCAACAGTGCAGGCACGAGGGAATGCATTGCTTTGTGAACATCTTGGGAAAAGTCCTTAGGAGGAGCAAAAGGTCTTGTGCTGAGTTTCCACTTGATAGTAGTTTTTTTTATTGTTTTTTTTTGCTTTCCGGAATCTTTGGATGTCTTTGAATCTGCAATGCTGCACTTCTCATGTAAACAACTGGTGAACATGCCAATTGTGCCAGCCTTGGTTATTCCTCCGCCCGTTAAACCATTTTGCCTTCCGTAGACCATTTTTACCCTCTGCTCCGAAGCTTCTTTTCGCAAGGTTTTACGGTCTCCTTTTTGCCGAATCGCTTACTTGGTACAGTCTGATCCCAACAGCTGCAACACAGCAAGGCCCGCACCCAGACATTACACAGCGCTACTTGGGGACCGTTGGAAGCAGCCCCTGTTACAACGCTCGAAAACAGCAGGCACACCTCCGTCCTTCAGCAAAAACGTTGCTTTTCCCTCATTTGTTATGTCCCCACTAGTTAGTAACTGTAATTAAGTTCCAAATGGCGGGGCACACACAGGACCACAACCACCAAAGCCGGGGCCAATACTGTAAATACCACGGCTTTCGGGGCGGACCATGACCAAGGCCCATCCTGTGAATACGAATGCTTTCGGGATTGTGGGCTTGCCCTTCTCAACAAATTATGACCTGGGCGCCATGACGGGACTGACCCAATAAATCCAAAATCATGGTATGGTTATGCGCCAAGATTAATATAATCAATATCAATATTATTATATTAATAAATCATTATTTAATTGAATCCAATAACAATATATATATATATTATAATTAATATTTATTATAGGAATTAATAAAACCATAATTTACAAATTGTTTAAAAAATAAATTATTTAATATAAATAAGATGGAACCTACGAACCCGAATGGAAACACGATCGAAAAACTACATATATCCAAATGACACTTTTGTAGGACACTTTTTTGGGACACTCTTGTAGGATTGTAGGATATTTTTGTAGGACACTTTTGTGGGTCACTTTTGTGGGAAATTCTTGTGGGACACTTTTGTAGGAAACTCTTGCGGGACACTTTTGTGGGACACTTTTGTGGGACATTTTATGGGACACTTTTGTGGGAAACTCTTGTAAGACACTTTTGTGGAACACTTTTGTGGGATACTTTTGTAGGATACTTTTGTGGGACACTCTTGTGGGATACTTTTGTAGGAAATTCTTGTGGGACACTTTTATGGGACACTTTTGTGGGACACTCTTGTGGGTCACTTGCAGGCCACTCTTATAGGAGACTCTTATAGGATAGTCTTGTGGGACACTCTTGTGGGTCACTTGCAGGACACTTTTGTGGGACACTCTTATACGACACTCTTGTAGGACACTCTTCAGGGACACTCTTCTGAGACACTCTTGAGCGTACGGGTCACTCTTGTAGGAAACTCTTGGACACTCTTGTGAAACACTTTTATAGGACACTCTTGTGGGACACGCTTCTGGGACACTCTTATAGGACACTCTTGTAGGACACTCTTGTGGGTCACTCTTGTGGGAAACTCGTGTGGGACACTCTTGTAGGACACTCTTATGGGACACTCTTGTAGGACACTCTTGTGGGACACTCTTGTAGGACACTCTTGTGGGACACTCTTGTGGGACACTCTTGTGAGACACTGTTGCGGAACACTCTTGTTGGACACTCTTGTGGGACACTCTTGTAGGACACTTTTGCGGGACACTCTTGTGAGACACTTTTGTAGGACACTCTTGTGGGTCACTTGCAGGACACTCTTGTGGGACACTCTTACACGACACTCTTATAGCACACTCTTGTGGGACACTCTTGTAGGATACTCTTGTGAGACACTCTTGTGGGACACTTTTATGGGACACTTTTATAGGACACTCTTGTGGGATACTCTTGTCGGACACTCTTAAGGAACACTCTTGTGAGACACTCTTGAGCGACACTGTTGCGGGACACTTTTGTGGGACACTCTTCCAGCTCCCCAGATACTCCGCGTACTGAAGTTGTACTACAAAGTCACCAGTTCTCATTTTCCAGTTCCCCAGAGACTCCGCGGACAAAAATTGTACTACAAAGTCGCCAGTGCTCGCCTGCATTTCGCGCGCTCGACACGCACGATCTCCTCAGAGGATTGCACGGGCACCGGACAAATCGCACTCTCGCCTGCATTTCGCGCGCTCGACACGCACGATCTCCTCAGAGGGTTGCGCGGGCACCGGACAAATCGCACTCTCGCCTGCATTTCGCGCACTCGACACGCACGATCTCCGCAGAGGGTTGCGCGTCAAGTCTCCAAAACGAGCGTTTCGTACGAGACCTCCTCAAACATTCACACGTCAAAGTCTGCAAAACGAGCGTTTCGTACGAGACTTCCTCCAAAAGTCAAGCGGAAACACCCATCGCAACACACACATCACGCAGCCCTGCCAAGCAGTCTCGCGATTCCAGCCCCTCCAAATAATATCCGCTCACACGCCAATCCCAATGTGACAACGACATTCACCTCTACCACAACTCACAACCTCACGATTCCCTGCGCCTGCCACGAAAATCGCACTTCCACACCTCAAAACACGCACAAAGTCCTGCGCCTGCCACGAAAAGTGACAATATCATCTCATATGAGCTTCAACAAAATTTGCACCACACCACACATTTGGAACGATTTCGACCCGTTCTGAGCACATTCCCATCCACCAAAATCGCCATTTCAGCTGAGACTTAGCACGAAAACCGAGCTTCGATGCCACACCCTGAAACGCAAATCCCAATGGTACGGCCACATCTAACACCCCAAAAACACGAATCTCCAAACGCTAATCCCAATGGAACTGCGCAGCAATCTGCGGATCTCACGAAACGCTGCGCCCGTGCAACGAAATGCATCACGTTTCTTGCGCGACATGTCGGTGTCATGCAAATCACAATGGAATTGCGGCGCAAACTGACACGTAACACATCCATGAAAAATCATTTGCAAAAGCTTCCCCCAATGGCAACAAATTTGAGACGCGACGACGACGAGAGACGACGAGAGACGACGACACGACGCAAGCCATGCAAATACAGGTCCAATCCCCACACCCCCAACTATAAACGGGAACCCTTCGCTACGCATTCGGGAAACAAAATCGAAATATATGTTATTATAAGGATTAAATTAGTTTAGGGGAATTATTTAATAAATGATATATATTAATATAAAATATCGATAGAAATAATATATATTAATAAATATATATGGTAATCGATCGAAAGGACGATATAAGGCCTATGTCATTGAGAGCTTCTTTAAGTTGTTCGTGATTTTTTCTCGAATTTGCGAAAATAGATTATTTATTTGGCGAAAAATTTGCGAATTATCTATTATATTATAAGATATATATGCAATTTTTAGGTTTGAAGGTATGTCCTCCTCCTCCTCCGAGTTGCTGTTGTTGTTCCTACTACCACTACGACTACCACTTCTAATTTATGAGGCTTACGCTTGATAGCCGGGCGCCGGCCCACTAGGATCTATTGAGCCATCTTGGAGGCTATGTTGGGCACATGTTGGGGATATGTTGGCAATCTTGGGCCTATGTTGGGGAGATTTTAGGCAATGTATGTAGAAAAAAATCTTCTGATATAATTTTTTACGATTTTTCCTTCCCGCAAAGCAAAAACCATGGAAAAAAACCTGCGTTTTTAAATATCGCCAAGATGAAATTCTCGGCCGCCGAGGGGCCCAAAACCCTGTAAAACACAGTGTTTTGTGTACTTCACACACACAAAACATTATAAATTACATATAAATCTGTCGACCGGATTTAACCTGAGGTCGGGGGTCGGGCGGAGGTCAACCAAAAGGGTCGGCGGCAGGGGCGGCGAGCGTATATAACCTTCGGTTACCAGCCGAAGGCCTCCGGCAAGGACACGGGCCCGTGGCCGGCGCCCGGAATTACTCCTCCTCGTGCTGTTGCCACTGGTTTTTACGTTGTGCGCCTAGAAACCCACCAATGACGCGACAATTTTTGGCGAAAGATTCGCGAAAGTTCCGCGAAAGAATAGGCGAATGTGAAGGTTTGTTTTGTGGACCCCTGTCCAAGCCAAGCAGAGATAGACCTAGCAAGACATGAGCGCAACAACCGTTGATAGCTCTTCCAACTTATCCTCCACCAATTCTGCTGATTCATCCAATGGTGGTGATTGAGAATTCTCGTCTGCAGATCCAAAATGGTATTTGATGGAAGTGCTTAGGCTGTTATGTAGAATCATTATGATTTCTAGAGTGTATACCCCCCCCCGCGAAAATTAAATATAGAATTCGCGAAAGATTCGCGAACATATTTTATTTTTTTTCGCGAAGAATGACCTGCCAACAAGAAGGAATTTTGATCAACCACCATATAGAAAAAATTAGTAATTAATAACAATATATATATATTTTTTTTTAATCGATTAATATATTATTTATTGTTGTTTATATTTATTATAATATTTTTTTTATTTATTTCGATATTAATATTAAATATATATATGAAAATATTATTTAATCATTATTTATTTTTAATTAACCATTAATTCGATATTATAAATATATAATTATTAAAGATATATATATATTAATAATATATATTTATAAATTAAAATATTTTGACATGATTTATATCTATATATATATTTGATAATTAGAATATATATATTATATTTCCTTCTATCGCCCAAAAACCGTGAAAGCCGGCACGCAAATAATCGACCGCTTCTGGGGCCACCTGCGCACCTCCCTCAAGCACGCCCCGCGCAAAGTCGGCTCCATTGCCCTGGCTCGTAAAATTCGAGCGGCGCAGTGGACGTACTGACACCGCAGCCAGAACCTCTGGGTTGCCACTGGCCGGATGCTTGAGGATCTTCGTGCCTAATCCTTCATTGGCTGCCAAAAAAGAATTTGCTGCTTTGCGTCTACTGACAAGATGTCGTCAAACAGGTCTATGTTGTAACATCTTGAGCCTACACCATATTTTCC